ATATTGCTAAAATCTAGGATATGTATAAATAATGTTTACATTTAAAGATCCCCCCCCCCCAAAAAAAAATACAGAATTCAGAAGAAAATATCAATGCATTTCTTTTGAGACCATTTTTTGTTAAGATCATTAAGCATAAAAAAAATTTCTGCAATTCTCAACAAATATTTTCTCCAAAGGTTTATTACTTCCACAACCACTACGAAACTGACTTCAAATCTGCATTTCATGGATACTTAAAATGCAAGTCTTTTCTAAAGGTTGATAAGGAAATCAATGTGTACACATGTATGAATAAAACATGTTATTGTATATATTTTTCAAATGTCTTCACTACAGACATCGTTCAGTGCACTAATTAACTTCCTATCGAGTGGATTAATATTATTTATATATCTTAATTTTATAATGTATATCTAAGTAAGTCATACTGAGTATCTAATCCTTTTCCTCTTTCGATTTCTTAACGTAGTTAAAAAAAAATGAATACTCTGTGGCTTACCTTCAGAAACAAGAACAGCAGAAAGGAACAGGAAAGTAAGCAAAATCAATCTTTGTCAGTAGCTTCTATTCCTCATCTAAAATTCAAAACATAATCAATGTGACTTCACATTCAAAATATCTTGAAATATTCATATTAACACATTTTAGTCACGAGTAAACTTACTAATGATATCTGTAATGATATCGTCACCTATTGATAATAATCTCATGTCTTATTTAACTTTTTGTCTCATTATAACATAAATAGATCTGGATAGCATGTAATTATAAACGTAACCTATCGATCTGGAAAGAAGATTAGGCTGATGTAGAGTGAAAACGAATACATAATTATAAGATGTTGTTGATTGTTCGTTTTTTCATCTAGCGTACAATATCAATAGCTAAAAAGAAGGTAAAGCATCTTGCAACCACGAAATAAGAAGGTTATAAAAAAGAATAAGTGCCTCTTTTTGTTTGTGTTCTGAAATGATAACTGAAATTTGATCTTGTAGTCATTCATCTGTTATTCCTTTTCAAATTTAATATCTATTTGCTAAGAAAATAAATTGCAAGACATCTGATGTTCCTAGCCTATAATCAAACATCTCAAGCACTGAAAGAACAAGTCGATCTGAAGACTGTTTCATAGATTTATTCAAAAAATGAATACTGAACATATACCCTGGATGTTATCAATTAATGGTAAGTGTAAGTAAGATTTAGTTGCTTAATTTATTTGATTGAAACGTTATTGAGTGCTTTAGTATTACTTCATTGAAAACTAATACTAAAGAGAATATTTGTTTTCCATATTTTTCTTCACATTTGATTGAATTTATAAGTAAAAAAATAATTTAAAAAAATAGATCAACAAATGAAACAAATATGTCCTGCTTGAATGATAGGGATAAGAATCCAACTGTTTGATGGTGTTTTTTTTTTTCAAAAAGTTGTACAGTGCTTTAAAAAGACAGAGAATTGCGTATATCAAATAACGCTTGCTCATTCATCAAGTATTAGTCTTTTCTTGCATCGACTGACTTAACGGAATGCAGATTTTCGAATGACTACAAGAACTACTAGTCATCAAGGTATATTAAACCATATCTACTCTTAGTTTGTTTGTCATAAACACTACTTTTTAAAGATACATTATAATGCACTTCTTGAATAATGCATTATTAGCATTGCCCAGTTTATTTATGATATCAGTTGCAGTCGTGGGTAGAATTTTGATATGTGAGCACATGTAATGGATATGATCATGGTTCTTTTTTATCAAGATTTAATGTCGTGGTTTGTTTAATGATAATGTAGAATAACCAATCATGCTGCGCACATCAGGAATTGTCAATGCTTAAAAGGTAAATATTCATGTGTCTTTTGAACAATATAAGGCACATTTAAAGCCCAATACTTGAGTTTGCATTACGAAGATTAGGAAAAAAGTACAAAATTACAAAACTGAAATTCTAAACATTGTTTTTATTTTTTCTCCTTCATTACGAAGGATACATATTTTTACATATAGGTAATCGTTCAGCCCAATTCTGAATGTCTAAAAGAAAGTTAATTATTTCTAATAACAGTCCTGAAGGAAAAACCTGTATCAGACTAACGAAACACATATTGAATTTTCTAACTCATACAATCATCTTGGAATTCTCTTAAGCTTCAATTTTGACCCTGGCGAAAGAACATATAATGCTTGCAGGAATGGACGACAAGCATATTTCGCTCTTAAAACGTCCGAACAGCTAAACCTCATAACAGTGGCCAAAATGTATAAATTAGTTCTTACCATCGGTCACTTATGGAAGCGAATTATGGTGCGATCTTCGGACAAAAGACATTAGGTCACTCAACGCATTCCAATGTTTTATCGTTAAACATGTCATGGACCACAATACCAGATCAGACATGTGCAAAAGCCTTCTAGATCTCCTACCAATTACAGCAGAGATCGATATTAAGAAATTGCAATTCTTTGGCTGTCTCTGTGAACTCAACCCAACGTATCTTACAAAACGTTTATTCATCATCTGTCTGTTCTCCTACTTGTTCAATGTCAGTACTAGGCTTTATGGGTTTATTTAGGGCATCATTTCCATTCTGTTGAAACACAATTTATACCATGTCTTAACTGATTATCTCAAAGTGGATTCTTCCCCAACAGGTCTCAGTGGAAACATCAGTGAAATCCTCCGTCATCTATTTCATTCTGCCTCTAGGCTCAACCGAATGCTTGCCGACCCTGACTTTGCTCAATTTAACATCCTCTGTGTAGTAAAACCACCTAAGCATCTGTGGGTTAATAATATTCATGAAATTTTCTGTTTAAATTTATTGTGAAGCTATGGACCCTCCTAGATACACCGCAAGAATTGTGCTGCCACTGTGCAAAATCTTTCACAAAACGTGTTCGTGAACTCAACCCAACGTATCTTACAAAACGTTTATTCATCATCTGTCTGTTCTCCTACTTGTTCAATGTCAGTACTAGGCTTTATGGGTTTATTTAGGGCATCATTTCCATTCTGTTGAAACACAATTTATACCATGTCTTAACTGATTATCTCAAAGTGGATTCTTCCCCAACAGGTCTCAGTGGAAACATCAGTGAAATCCTCCGTCATCTATTTCATTCTGCCTCTAGGCTCAACCGAATGCTTGCCGACCCTGACTTTGCTCAATTTAACATCCTCTGTGTAGTAAAACCACCTAAGCATCTGTGGGTTAATAATATTCATGAAATTTTCTGTTTAAATTTATTGTGAAGCTATGGACCCTCCTAGATACACCGCAAGAATTGTGCTGCCACTGTGCAAAATCTTTCACAAAACGTGTTCGAGCACATTAATACAGTTTGCCCGGAAACATCTTTGCATCGCAATGCCTGGTGGGAAACAGTGATTGAGGATTACGACATCTCACTAGGCGCCGAGCTATCAGGACTCTCAGAAAGTGAATTATATTTGTTTCTTCACGGTGCTAGATATCTAACTTACGAAAGCCATGAAGGGACATGAGGATTCTCAAAAAAGTGTAAAAGTAAACCGAGATCTCGATTTATATAATCCGTTCTCTCGGATTGACAATCTGTTATAACGAATTACAAATTCGTTCTCACAGATTATCAATTCGTTCCCTCAAATAACACAATCCGTTATCTCGGATTGTAATTCGTTCTCTCGGTTTAAACGATTCGTTCCCACGGTTTAATTATTCTTTCTCTCAGATTATCAATTCGTTCCCTCAAATTACACAATCCGTTATCTCGGATTGTAATTCGTTCTCTCGGTTTAAACGATTCGTTCACACGGTTTAATTATTCGTTCTCTCAGATTATCAATTCGTTCCCTCAAATTACACAATCCGTTATCTCGGATTGTAATTCGTTCTCTCAGTTTAAACAATTCGTTCCCACGAAATCTAAGTCGTTCCCACGAATTAGTTATTCGTTCTCTCAGATTATTAATTCGTTCCCTCTAATTAGACAATCCGTTATCTCGGATTGTCCCTTCATGGCTTTGGTACGTTCCAGACTATTTTTAAGTCGACAAATGGGATTGGAAAACCTTTTTTTCAGTCATGGCACAGGGACAAGGAGTGGAACATGAAGTAAGTAAACTGAATAATTCCTGAAGACAAAATATAATTTCATATTTAATTTATAATATATGATTGTATTTTATTAATTGGCGTTGACAAATTTTGTTAATGAGTTCCCGACTAAGAATGGATGTGTACAAGTCGAGGATAACCACCCGCTCTGAGAAAAATAAGTTCACATTTCTAAAAATTTATGAAATTGTCAATAACATATGTCTTTGATGTGTATCAGTGTGCTTTAACCAATCAACTTTGTAGATATATACATTGTATATATAAAAAAGGAAAGGATCAGAAACCATTTAAAAAAATATTAATTAAATTTTACACTTACTTTTACGTCATTTAAACTTAATGTAATATAAAGATTAGACCCATTCGTATTCAAAAATCATGCTTATGGCTCCAGATCAACAGACCCATTATCTACTAAATCTGTTAATTTAAAAATATATCAAAAATGAAGGTGACATTTAACTTTTTCATGAACTTTCAAAATTGAGAAATGTTGTCTCAGAGCAGGGTATTGTTCCTTATATTCCCTCTTTGTTTTAGTCATGGGCTTACTGAGAATTTAAAGTAGTAAATTAAAAAATAAACGCATGGCCGTAGGAACTGGGGGGGGGGGGGCACGGGGCACGCCCCCAATAATTTTGCTGATATATAGTATACTATAGAAAAACATAACCTGCTCTACCCCCTCAATAAAAACGTCTGTTGACCTTTTTTTGCTTGTCTAGGAATTTTTGGTAGTTGATAGTGCCTCCAACTGAAAATGTATGCCTGTGCCCCCCCCCCCCCCCCAACTGACATTGCTTCCCACGGGCCTGAAATACATAAACCAAAAATCATTGAAAAATTGTTCTCAACGATACTCATTTTTGCAGGAGGAAATCTACCATTTAATCCATCAGTACTTCCATTTTGATTTACGATATCAAGACATTGTGAAAGTTTTGTTTCTTAACCATGGCATTGTAATGTCAACACGTCAGTTAAAAAGACACCTAAAATATTTAAATCTTACGAGGCGGAAGATTTTCTCCTCTGCCCAGTCTGTTTTTAATTTTGTATACAATCAATTGGAAACATCTGGACAAAGTCATGGCTATAGATGGATGCATCAAAAGTGTAAAATGAATGGCTTCAAGGTGAAAAGAGAAGATATAAGACTGTTGCTTCAAGTGGTTGATCCACATGGTGTTGATATCAGATCGAGAAGAAGATTAAAAAGGCGAGACTATTGGTCAAAAGGACCCAATTTCTGCTGGCATGTAGATTCGTATGATAAATTAAAGAAGTATGGATTGTGTATTAACGGATGTATTGACGGTTATTCAAGGAAAATTATTTGGTTGAAAGTTGGCCGAACAAATAATGACCCGACAGTCATAGGAAGATATTATTTAGACGCAGTAAATGTTCATGGAGGTTCCCCTTTGTTTATGAGAGGTGACTTGGGTACAGAAAATGTACTCATTGCTGCATTGCAGAATCTCTTCTCTAGAAACGACACACTTGAGCATAATCAATTTATCTTTGGAAAGAGCTCATTCAACACAAGAATTGAATCGTGGTGGGGTATTTTGAGAAAGGAATGTTGTCAGACATGGATGGAAGAGTTAAAGGATTTACAAAATCGGGGTCTTTTTACGGGTGACAAATTGGACACTAATCTGCTTCAGTTTTGTTTTATGGCGTTACTTCAGGTACATATATGTCTGCTCTAGAGACTATATTATTTCTTTCCCTTTTGACCTTTGAATTAATTTAAAATTTTATAATCTTATAAAAGAATTTATGAAAATTAAGTATAGTAAGATTTCAAATTTCAATAATATTTATTTCTTGTTATGAGTTACGATAGAAAAAAAAAATATCGAATTTAAACTTTGCAAGTACTGTGTATAAAAATCACTTCATTTTCTTTTCAGACTGAGTTGGACGAAGTAGCACGTGTGTGGAATACTCATTATATGCAGTCTAAAAAAACGGCAGAGGGAAGTGTTCGAGGTCGTCCATCGAATGTTTATCTTTTTCCAGAGCTCTTTCAAGTTCAAGATCATATTCATCCGATTGACAAAGAAGTTCTTGAGCTTTGTAAACATGAATGCACCATAGAACACGTGCTTCCATGCGATGAAGAAATATTTGAACTCGGTTGTATTTTCATGGAAGAATATGACTTAGAACCACCATCAAACATTTATGAGGGAAAGGCCATTTACATTGATTTTCGTTCCTGGATCATGAATGTTATGTAAAAACAACCAAAAGTCTTATAATCAGAAAACTAGTAACGCTATTTTCAAAATGTATGCAAACAATATACGTGTATCATTAATTTACAGTCTACATGTATTTGTTAACACAAATATTAAGATTTATTGCTCTGTATCATCTCAAAATGGTGGTTTATGGATTATAAGCTTGATCAATAAAAAAAGGGTGTATAAGCTTGATCAATAAAAAAAGGGATTATAAGCTTGATCAATAAAAAAAGAAAACTTTTTTATCATTTCACCAGCTGGACCTTTTGTTCTTCCCCGTAAAATTGTCCTAAGCTTTGAGCTAAAATGCATGGTGTCTTATTTTCTGCCACATCTTGTCAGATAATTATGTCGACTTTGTTAGATCTTTATTTTGACATGCCAGATCCTTATATCTACTGGTCAGATATGTTTGTTGACTTGTCAGATAGTAATCCTCATGACTAGAAACTCGGTATCTTGATATTAAAGCTTGCTAATGCCACTGATATCTACTTGATATCATAGAATCTGACAAGTTGATATAATTATCCAAAAGTCATCATAATTATCTGAGAAGTCGACATAATTTTCTGACAAATCAACTTGATAGATATTAAATCAACTTTTCAGATAACGATGTCAACTTGCCGAACTTTTGTAAACTTGTCAAATAAGTATGTTGACCTGTTGTTTATTGATGTCGACTTGTCAGATAATTATGACGACTTCTCAGATCCTTTTTTTTTCTTCTAAAAAAAGTATAATGTCAACTGGTTAACACAGTTTATGCATGGACACATGGGCATCTCTATTTGAAGTATAAATCATTTGCTTGCAAAGTATGCATAATAATTATCCCTGTGACTAAAATAATTCACCTCTACAGTTTTGAACACACCCCTCCCCCCCCCCCCCCCACAATGAATTCCAAAAAATATCATGACAGAATAAATATATCATATAGAATTTAATTATCAGCACATCATATCTAATTTCTTATTACTTAGAATAATGCAATATACACAAACAAGCAAAGATATACGGCTGACTTAAACGACCTTTATATTTTTATAAAGACTGTAGCAATATGTACGGAAACGTATAACCGCCTCGTGTTGTTGTGTTAAAACGCGATATGTCATCATAATTTTATTGTCAAATATAATTGCTTCAAAGTTTTGCAATTTATTTATGACACCAAATCTCTAATGAATGACATTTTATGAGATGTTTTGGACGACTTACACACTTTGATTTTTCAAAGTTGAATTTGTCCATGTCGCACTTAAATAATGCGTACAAATTTTGTCGCTTAATTGAATATTGCAATCATTTTTACAACGGGTCGCAGATACTATTGCAATATGTAAGACATGATGACTTAACGTAGGCAACTTATTTCAATGAAAGAGGCCAATTCGTCCAAATTTCGACGACTTGTAAAAGTAATTGCAGCAAAGTTGACATAAATTTGTCAATGTAATGTATTGTATCAAACTTGAATCGTTTGAGATACAGTTCATTTTTTTTTTTTTGCCTCACAGCGGATAGGATCTGTAAGTATAAAATGAGGAGAACTGGTTATTATTTTCATTTGTTGATTCTTAATCTTTTGGTTTGTTATTTTTTGTTTGTTTTTTAAAAGAGTAAATCTTATATGGAGGCGGATGCATAATCTTAATCCAAATTTCTTGTGTGAATTTTCAATTTAAATGATATCAAACATGTAATGATCGGATGGGCAATGTCTCCTTATGTGCACCATTCCCCCGAAACGTTTTAATTACTTTAAGAATTTCAGATGAAACTATATAAAGCGTCCTTGTCGATGTTGAAAATACTGAACAGATCTAATTAAGATAATAAAACTTGTTTTCAGAATCTCTCCATCGCTCTCTCTCTCTATCTCTCTCTCCTGGCAGAGGCATATATTTTTTTTTATTTCCTTTGAAATTAAACCCGCATGATAACAGAGACAAATCAATCGGGATCGGGAATCCGTAAACTTAGTATATTAGAGGAGTTGAGAGCGAAAACAGTTTTTAAAAACAGGCAAGTTACCTAGAGTAAGACATATCGTTTTTGCTTCCTTATGTACAAATAAGAATCGGAGAAAACTTGTATTAACATGAAAATTTAGGCCTAATGCTGAAACTGCTTCATCTACACAATACGCAACACAAACTGCAGTCTTGTAGGGGTACTACTAAATAGAGTACGCTAGAGTACTTTAGAGTACGCTAGAAAAATTATGTTATTTATTGCAGTTAATTTGTTTATTTATGTATGTACAACTTGATTAAGCATTATAAAAAACTTATATTGCAATATTTTGTTTCAAATATTTGTATTTAGCGATATATTTTGAGAAGAAATAACAGTCATTCATAATTCAACGCATTAAAGATTACTAATACCCCAATCTCGATAACTATTTTGTTTCTGATTTACTTACTAAATACTTACATCTAAATTTCAACAAATATTAAATTAATTCATGTGTAAATAGTTTTCACTTTCACAAGGAGACATTTCAAAATGTTTCTTAAACAAGATCGGGATCAAACGATAAACCGTAACCTGAAATCAAAAACTGAAATAACTCCTAAAATAAAGAAAAAATACAAATTTTATTTAAAATATACATTCAGTGTGTTAAACTAAAGTAGGAAAACATACAAAAAGTAGTATAATTGCATTAAATAATAAAATGTGACTAGCGTACTCTAAAGAACTCTATCGTACTAGTGTACTCAGTTTAGTAGGACCGGTCTTGTAGTCATGGATCTTAAACAATTTTAAAATAAATGTATATGAAGCATGCAAGATAGAAGTCTTTTTAACTGCTTTTGTTTTAAGTATATACTGTATGGTAATTTTATGGCTTGCATGATTTATGTTAACAATTCCTATTATTAAATCCTGGTGTTTCCTTGATATATACAGAAGCTGTAATCTACAAAAAACGTTATAATTTCAGAAATTCATAATTTCATATATTGACAGCTTAGTTGTTCATATTGTCAGCTTTATTTGATTTTTAAGTAGATTAATATGGTTAAATACAAAATATGCATTGTATTTCATGACCATGGTACATGTAACAGTTACCATGAAATCCACAGTTTGTAATTGTAACTACTTTTAACTAGGACTAGGAATTTCTGTTTTAAAAATTAAAATTCATGTGAAGACAGGTTGGAAAATAATTTTCTACATAAATGTTAGTTCATTCTTAGGTTTATATATAAAAAAAAAAATAAAAAAAAAAACATTTGATGAATAGTTTGAGTGAAAAATTGGAATTATGTGTTGTTGTTGTTTTTTTTTTTATCTACTTAAAAGAGATAAAGGTACTGCACTATTACGTATGAGTGACCAGTTTAGTGTAAACATTATTAGGGAGAAAGAATTTTCATGACCTATAGTCACTTCTCTACATATATCTGTATATAATGTTTAGGAAAACTAATAATTTTACGGTGTGACCGTTGGGTGAGTGCAGTTGTACCATAAAAATTTAACGCTTGAAATGGTGATCTGCCACATCAGTCATCAAGTTGCAATAGACATCTACACTGACGTTACATGATCACATGATGTAACAGAGCTCGCCAGGGTTTACGGAGACATCCGACCATTTGGTTTGAATTTATAAGACGTGCAATTTTTGTCAGAATACATTAATGTTGAGTATTTTTTGATTTCTACAAACCTAAAAAGCCTTTTTGGGGGATCATTTTTTAATTTGCCATCATCGCATGGAATCCTGGTAGCAAAGGAATTCTGGGAAGGTTTCACACAAAAATTTGCTCAATGTATATACAGATTTCTATCCAAATTTCACTGCTCTTATACTTTAGTCTATTGAGCTGCACTCACTATGAATGTAAATGATATTTTTCCAAGCACATTGCCTCGCATAGTTACTAGCAAATAAAACTGGTTCCACAGGACAGTTAAATGAGTTAATGCATGTATACATGTAGTAATCAGGTAGTAAAGCACCTTAAAATTTTTAATGCATGTTTAATGTGTGGTTGAAAAGCCCCATAATCCTACTGTGTAGCTCAAGAAAAAGATACATGCATCATAATATTTTTTTAAACATGATAACCAATCAAAATTATATGGAAAATTAGTTTAAATATTAAAACACACATTTATAAGTGCAGGGGTTTTTACTGAAAATTTGTTATAAATTTGCTAACAGGTTTTATTAGATTATATTAATACACATATTGATTTTTTTTTCAGCAAAGTGGTACACAATGGATCTACCAGGCCCCAGTGGAACTAAATGTTTAAAAATATGGACCAAACAGCAAATGAAAAAAGCTATACTTGCTAATTCTTTCAATGAATTAGTGGGAAAAAGTAAGCAAATGTGAAATATATACAAATGTACATTTTTTATCATAATAACCATATCTTTTAATATTTATATACCATATTGTCTTCAACTTTCATGATCACACATGCACACTTGAATATGTTAAGTGAAAAAACTGATGTTCTACTTTCGTTTGAGATTCGTAAATTTTTCATTATTTTATTTTAACATGTTTAAGTTACTCTAGTAGAAAAAATAATGTCACATCCAATATCTGCGTTTTTGGGATGCGCTTTTTACATAGGGGTGCATCTTTTACATTACATTTTGCTCAATACACGGGATTTTACATGAGTTATAGATTTCTGTTTCAAACCTCACCTGAGCTGAAAGCACACATTGTCCAGCAATTACGTCAAGGACTCTACTCAATTTCTCAAAGTATCACTAGGCCAAATTTCTCATCAAAATTGACATAAAGCATCTCTAGATAAAGCTAGGGTACTGTAGACATACTTTTTTCGATGGGGTCATTATTCTGTTGATCGAATCTCTAATTCTGCATGTGCAGTCTGTTGGTAGAAAATTCTGAGGACATCTTAAGACGCTCTGTATATACCTTTTCTTTATATCAAAAATTCCCATGGAGAATTTGTGACCGCGTACATAGTGTAAGTTTAAACCATGCAGTAAAAATTACTTCTACAGTTTTCTCTTTTTTTCACATGATAGGTCA